TATCGAAATATAATTTAAAATGGCCGCATTACATTGAATTTGATGCAATATATTAGCAAAAGTACAGGAAAAATAAATAATATTTTTTTAAAATAATGCAATGAAATTATTTAGGGGGGTTAAAGACATTTTTAGGGAGGCTGAAGCCTCCCTAAAATAGGCCTAATGACGCCCATGCATTCTTACTAATTTATGTTAAATCTTCTGTAAAGTGCTTTGTCACAGCTGAAGCTTTTGTGAAAGCGCTATATAAATAAAAATGTATTGTATTGTATGAATAAAAAATAAAATCCTCACGTCACATCTACATACCTGTCAACCTTTCAGAGCGCCAACCCATATAAACAACCAAAAAAAATCCTTATAAAGAGCAAAAAATCCTTATAACATACCAAAGCATTGTATATGTCAAAATAACGGCAGAAAAAAAAACATGAAATTTTCAATGATATTTATTGTAGATCTCCATAATACAATGGCAGGTGAATGTCTAATCATTCTACTTAGTGGCATTACTGTGTTCAGAGTTGTATTCCTGCGTTACTTTACTAGATTAGAACTTGCTTGTGCACTACCGAAGTATGGAATGAATACTCTGCTGTTTTCAACTAGGAACCACGTGATTTACTGGAACGTTACCGGAAATGAAAGCATTCGAGTAGACGAGCACCATTCTGGGCAAAAGCAAACGGAACTACCTGTTAGGGGGGAAAAAAAACAAACAAAAAAAAAAAAAAACAGAAATTTTCAGAATCCGTATGATTTGTGCGATATGGCCATATACGTAAGATTCACCACAAAATCCGTATAAAATATGGCTAAACTGTATGAGTTGACAGGTATGCATCTACACTTCTAGATGTGGCTATTCGAGACACTTCCAGTGTGCATGTTCTCCAGGCGCTCCGATTTCGTCCGGCATTCCAAAAACATGCATGGCAGGTTGACTGAACACTCTAAATCGGGGGTGTCAAACATACGAAGGAAATACATATGATTTTGGTTATTTATAGCAGAGTATGGTACAATTTTAATGGTCCGGCCCACTTGACATCTACCGGGGCGTATATGGCCCACAACGTGAAATGAGTTTGACACCCCTGTTCTAAATTGTACCGAAGTGTGACTGTGAGCGCGAAGAGTTGTTTGTCTATGTGTGCCCTGCCATTGGTTGGCAACCTGTTCGAGTGTACTTCGCCTAATGCCAGAAGACAGTTGGGATAGGCTCCAGCATGCCCACGACCCTCGTGAGGATAAACACTCTCTCTCTCTCTCTCTCTCTCTCTCTCTCTCTCTCTCTCTCTCTCTCTCTCTCTCTCTCTCTCTCTCTCTCTCTCTCTCTCTCTCTCTCTCGTACATTTTACGCACGTACATTGGGAGGATCAAAACAAATTGTTTATATCTACCCGGAAGCATTTGAGTGTTGCGCCACACACTTTACAATGGCAGCATGTGTAAACGAGGATGACACTAATGAGGACATCAACGACCCCGGCGCGGCTCCGTATGGAAACTTTATCAATTATTACACTTTTAACCCACCGGAGAACAGATTAAGTGTTATTCCCAGAACACTTCTTAAGGATTTAGGCTACAACGACCCCCGTCAAACAACATTGCTGCTGGACGTGGGCTGTAACTCGGGGGTTTGTCGATTAACATTATATTTAATACCAATACAAATACTATAAATGCTGCATAGTGGAATAAGTTAAAAAACTATGCAGTAAAAGTCATCCTAATAATAAGACGAAAGGTTGATGAAAAGTCTGTATTTGTTTTCCTCGACTGTCAGGAACTAAGTGTCGCCCTCTACAAGCATCTGGTGGAGACGCAAGGCGGAACCAACGTTCACCTACTGGGCTTGGATCTGGACGAGACCCTCATCGGGCGAGCCCAGGAGAATAACCCCCTCCAGGGCGTCGTCACCTTCACCCTGTTGGACATCACCGGTGACTGCGCGCCGCTGCGGGAACACCTGGCCCGTCACGAGCGCTCCAGCTTTCACCTGACCCTGTGCCTGGCCGTCACCATGTGGGTCCACCTGAACCACGGCGACGCCGGCCTGCTGCGGTTGCTCTCACGACTGGCCGAGCTTAGCCGGCATCTTCTGCTGGAGGCGCAGCCCTGGAAGTGCTACCGCTCGGCGGCCCGCAGGCTTAGGAAGCTTGGGCGCTCGGACTTTGACCATTTCAAGAGTCTTAAAGTGCGCGGGGACATGAGCGAACACGCCAGGCAGCATCTGGAGAAACATTGCGACATGGAGATGGTACGCAGCTTCGGCAGAACCGCGTGGGACAGGAAATTGTTGCTTTTTAAGAGGAAGTGAGATCGAAGTACAGTACAGTTTTTTCGAGTGGAAACACGCACTCACTAAAATTATTGTAAATGCTATTCCAGTATCCCCCCCAAACCCAACAACGAGTGTTTCTCAATAGAAAAAAAAATAGCACTACGCAGTATTTAACATTATTAAAACATACAAACAGAAAGTTAAGGCTAATAGTTGGTGCATCTTGATTTCATGCTTTTTTTTTACAATAAAAACAAACTCACTTTAATTGTATTGTAATTTTTCAATGAGCTAAAATACTGCATTTTTATTTTATCAATAGAATTTAAAACCCATTTCAATCAGTAATTAAAATACACATTTAAAACAACGAAATGCTACATTTTAAAGCTGTAAATGTTTTTAATTTAGTATAATTAATACAAATTTAAAACAAACGTCCAGTCATTTTTAACTCCATACAGCTGCAAGAATAGGCATTAATTAAAAAAAAAAAATTGTACGATGTAGTCATTTTGAACATTTTATGGCTGCAGGTTATCAATGTATTTACCGTGGCTGTTTTTTAAGGTTGCTAATGTCTACAGATTTCTGCAGTGAAAAAACATCTATCGTCATCAAAACAAGGGGGAAAAAACAATTTTCATAATTTTAATTACAGAGTACTAAAAATAACATTACATAAAAGGTCTTTTTAAAAGAAACCATTGAATATTACAAAGGTCTGTAAATCTTGTAAAGTTAGGATATAAAATCTTTGAAACAGTGGTGCATAATTGAGAAGAAAAATAATTTCCAATAAAATGTACAGTATATATTAACTGTTCTACTACGTTCAAAAAAAAAAATGAGATGGACAACACAAAATTCTGACATACGAGATGAGCCGCCGCCGCCATTATTGCGACATGTACATGCACAAAATTAGCTCTCAAGTCAATGAATGTAATCATTAAAGAAAAAAAAAAAAAAAAGACATTTACAAGTGACAAGGACCAACAAGGGCGCCTCAATATCAAACCCTCGCTACACTGGCCTTGGTTCCATCACGTCATAATTTATCCGCAGGGTTTAAAATGGTATACAAATTGGAGCAAGAACCCTTAAAAGTTGACGATTCCGCCACAAAGGGAGTGAAGAGAGGATGAGTCTGCTGTGCTACTGTACAAGCGCTCAATCAGATCCACTGAGAGCTCATAGGAGAGACTATACACACAAAA